GTCTATAAATCAGTGTTGTTCGTCAGACGATTATTTTTTCTAAGGCCTCGTGCAAACCTGTATTGCGGAAACACGAGTTAAAATAAACAGCGTCTTACCTTGAACTTTACGACTACAGACATAACCTTAGTTTAAACTAACGCCGAACTTGAGTCTAGATTGTAAACGGGTGTTACAAGCAATCATATTTTTTTCATTGATAACTTCTTCAGTACGTCTACAGGTTTTATTGGCGCCCGAAGCGAACGAAAAAACGTGTGAGCACAAAGAAGTGTAGATAGTTTAATTAAGTATCTATGTTTTTATATAAGTAATACTACTTTTAATTTACTACACAACATTTTTAATTCTTCTATTGCTTTACTTGACTTGACTGCCTCGTTGGCCGAGTGGTCACAAGTGCGACTGCCGGGTAAGGGGTCTCGGGTTCGATTCCCGGGTCGGGCAAAGAATTACTGGGTTTTAAAAAAAATCTCAGTAGTAGCACGGAGTCTGGAATTGTGCCCGGTATATGGCAATAGGCTCACCCCCTATTATATGGGACTTATAGCATAGTCTATATAGTGAAAAGTGGATGTTATATTGTACAGCGGTATAATGTGCACCTCTGCCTACCCTTTCGGGGACAAAAAGCGTGATGTTATGTTATGTTCTATTGCTTTATGGCGGGAAAGATTCCAAACAGAATAAATAAATGAAGAATAAAATACGGTCATCATCATAAAAATAAAATTACATAAAATTATTACCTGTCTATATAATTATAAGGTTAAAAATGCACTCGAGGTCAGGCATTATACCAACGCCCTAGGGCCAATGACTGTAGATCACGCGACTGAACCAAGTAGACTACGCTTAGGAAAGAATTAGCTTAATACTAGATAAAGATATGATCTTTGACCTACCAGTCACACTTTGCATTTCGTAGTAACCAGCATAAGGAATGTTGTTAGTACAATGGGGATTAATAATTAGGTATCCAATTCAAATGACTGTTTTCTTAATGCAAAAATAATACAACTAGTGACAACTACTATAGTCACTGAGCATCAAAGCTGTTTACCGCTTATCCTAACTGCCTTTTTCTTGATTTTGCGCCCAGTAACTTTTATATGGCCATCTAACAATAGACACCAGCCACCGTAATACCACTTTTCGAATGGAGTGAGGAGAGTTTCGAAACCTAAAAATATTTTACTTGAACCCCAGGTCTTGTGCTCAACGGCCATATCTGACAACCGATGTAACAATCCAACGTCAAAAATTTAAATATAAATCAGTGTTTACGAGTTGTTGTGTAAACATTATGAATACATAATTACTTCAGGTTTAAGATAATATTGTTTTTGCTTTCATTTTAACAGTTTTTGCTGAACATACGTAACAGACGTACAACGCTGTAGGTAGGCTAAACTGTAAGAGGAAAAACGTAATTGGTATACAAGTTTTTGTGAAGCTGAATGGTATAGTTGATGGAAAGAAACCAGGCACAAAGTCATAGTCAGATTCCGAAGTGAACGTCTAAAATAAGAAAAGTAGTTGCTTATATAATCAAAAAAGACTTACAGATGAACACTATAGACTAGATAGAAGCAAAAGATTCAAAGATCAGCCAACGGTTCCTGTACGTGCGCAAACTTAATGAATACGGATCAAAAGGGGCAGACAATTTAGCACATACAGGCTTTATGCTATACTTATTCAAAGTTGGAGATAAAAACCCACACGTGGACATAGAAAGACTAAAATAATAATGGACTGTGTTATAAATTCTGGATGAAGTGTACTTCCAAGTAAAAAATGAGAAGGAGAGAATTGTTAAATAATGAAGCCCGAAGTTGACTCACCAAGAAAAGACATGAAAAATAGAAATAAAAGTAAATAACAATGAAATGATCCCAAAGATAACATTTAGTTTGTTCTTAGCCGTATTTATAACAGGTTTCATTAATACATTTTAGAGTGACTAAACGAAGGCGCCCATTGTAACGAATGATGAATTGGTGAAATTAAAAAGACCAACAAAAAATCAATATTCATCAACAAAGACCCAAATAGATTTTTTGTTGGAGCTACCTGAGCACCTATTCAGAAGCTAGGAATCTGCCTGCACACAGGAAATATTGAACTGAAAGCCCCAGATTATTTTTTTCTTTCCCAACAAAACTTGAATTGTGGATGAATTTTCAATCATATTAACTTTGTACAAAGTACATAATTAATTGCTAAGTGTTATTAAATCGGTTAGAATATGGAGAAGGATCAATATTTCCATATTCATATTCATAGGATTAGTAGTTATTGAATAATTACTGCCAAAAATTTCCTACCATATGTTAACTACCCTTTACCTGTTTTTTTTTTAAATAAGGCCGAGCCGACTACAACTTTAGCAAGCCAGAACCTACTGTAGGGATTGCAATTCCCTACAGTGTTGATTATAAGTTTATGTTGCAATGTTGAATGTTGTTTATGTTAAATGAGTAGACGACCAATTTCTTAGATAGTTTTATTGCTACTGAATTAAATTAATTATGTAGTTTATAATGTTCAGAAATGCTGATCACGGTGATTTAATTATTCGCGCGTATGACGACTAAGTCAATGTACAGCGTAGCTCGTACACCTACAGTAACGAATCACCAAAAAGGATCCAACACAATGATGCCTACGTCCTAAGGACACGCACCAAAAAGTAGAAGGTCATAAGAGGCTAAGAGGACTGGTAAAGAAATAGCTTCCAATGCACTTGATATTCCTAAATATGCACCCTTATACAAATAAATATCAGACACACGTGGCAGCCATTAAGTAATTGTAACACTTTCGTTGTGCGACGCAACCGCTCGGAATGGAGTGGAGTCGTGGAAACAAGAGCAAATGTAACGGTTCTTATTATTGTGTTATGCGCATGTCATGTTGCTGATGATAAGTGTGCTACTGGTACAGAAGTTACAGAACGTATCTCCTACTTTTAAACCCCCAAAGATAATTAAACTGCTTGATTTAGTCGAACGGTGCGCGGCTGATAGCAGGTCACTTCTAAATAACCGTAGGTACTTGAAATTATTAAGGGTGACCTATGCTTAATCGTAGACGTCTTATGGCTAATACGATGATGATGATGATGGTAATGATGAGGAATTAACCGTTCTAGCTCTCTATCAAACAAAGAGAGATAATCTTGACAATTAAAGTTCTTGTAATCTTTGGCGACAGACTAACTTGCTTGATGCTAGACATTGCTTGATAAAAATAACAGGACAAAGGTGATTCAATTTCCTCTTCGATGGATAAAGAGAGAAAAACATCACTAAGAAGACATATAACTAAAATTCAATACGATAATTTTTATTTACTTTCATACCATTTGCTAAAGTAAAAATGAATTGAAATAAAATGGCGCTAACATACACTGATCAATATCCATAAACGATTCTACTATACCACAGGATATGACGGCAACCGATATTATCGCTTTTTCTCACATTATTAAATCACAAATTGGTACAACTACCTAATATCAACGTTTTAATTGGTCGCCATATCAATTATTACCCCGATAAAATAATTTACGTCGATATGAATCGACTTTATTTAGTTTGAACACAGGAACAATCCCAAATGTATTAAAAATGTTATCAAATTAGTTTCAAATGCTTTTAAAATCATTTTAATTTTGCCTTTCGTCTTTAATTTATTTTAGTACCTATTAAGTTTTCCTGCGCTTAATTACATTCCTTCTTCTATTTAAAAAATGTCTTGTTATGTTCTGATAATTATTATTAAAACAAATTAAACCTTATTTTCTGTCATTTCGTAATTATCTCCCTTAACATACAATCGAGTTATTCATGTTTATCTTCGGCCTTTCATGCACCTCATTCATAATCTTGTGCCTTTTGTTTGATTTGTCCCAAACATAATTGTAAGTCGGCATTTAAATACTTACATATTTATACACTTAAATATTTATTCATTTAGTAAAATAAAAAATGTCCTATGAACGACACTGTTTGGGATTCAATAAAGTATAGCTGTTCTAACATTATTTTGTAGAACAACTTACTATACCTATATTAAGATTTAAGAAATGTAACCCAAGTACCTACTTAAATTATAAACGCCTCGAAATTATTTCAAGGTAAGTATTAAGGTAAATTGTATTTTTAATGTCTTTAAAAATACCGTAAAGTCAACCGGCCAACCTGCGTTGTCGCGGTCACTGATCCTACAATTGAACTGAAAAACACTGGCCACTAAGAATAGTTTTACGCCCAATGAATCGCCAAATAATAGCTTTTGAGTAAACTAGGTAAATAGATTTCCTTGTTCATCACAATTTAAAAAAATGCTTGCCTTGCTAAAATAAAAGAAAACGTTAATGCGCCACTTATAAATATTCCGACATTTTAATTTATGAAAAACAACTTAACGTGTCATAAAAACTACAATACAAAATGCTCTCATCATAATTATTTAGCTGTCTACGCAATTAAATGGGAAGCCTTAAGCACTGACATATAAACAGAATTTTAGACTCACTCCAAATCCATTTAAATTTTATTTAAATCCGTCTATTCCAATATTTTTTGTATTAATATCTAAACACTTCGCACATAAAAACTAGACAGAAAAAATCCTGATATTGATTTACGTACGCAGATCGTTTTACCAGATTAAATATTGATCAATTACTCGGTAATGGTTCCACTATTAGACCATGGTTAGATAAACTTCACCTACAGCTGTGGGGTGCTATAGACGAACATATATAAGTTCATAAGGTACGAACAATAAAATTTCATACTGTATTCCTTAGTAATTCATCCAGCTGCGTATCAAATTAGAATCAAACGATAGCGATAAACTCAGAGTTTCGAAATACACGTGATAATAATAATTCATGTTTATAGATAGGTAAGCGATAGGTACAGCCACTATCTTTCGCGACACAAATCGTTGTGACTTGTATGTGATGTCATTTGTTTACGTCGGCCCTAAAGTAAAGTATAGTACAATATAGTAGTACTCACGTCATAACTCCACGTGCACGACACTCCGGCAAACTTGGCGACACAGCGGCCCAGCTCCACATCCTCGTGCGTCGTGTACAGGTGCTTCAGGCAGTACTTCACGTGAGGCGCCACCCTTTTCAACGTCTCCCGAGAGAACAACACACCCGGCCCACCCATACAGAAGTTCTCATTGTAGTCCAGAGCCAGAGCATCTCGTTCATCACTAGTACCTCGACCGGCCTGCCCGATAAACTGAGGTTTCCTGCTGTCCACCGAACGCAAAAACTCCTCCAACTTATCACCTCTCACATACACGTCATCATCCGCACGCATGAACCACTCGAACTTATCCCCATACTTCTCGTACATGTACAGTAACATCAAGAAAGACTTCTTCTGCGGAGGATAACTGTCGTCCACATTACGCAAGGGAACTAAAGGTAAACCAGGCGCACGCGACACTTCCGAACTGAAAAACGCGATTCGACCAGGCAAGTCCTGGCTCCAGGTTTCATACACTGCTTTTGCTCTAGAACCTAAATATTGTTCAGCTGTCATGACACCCACGAACACTAATGTCCTGTTCGAGTTGTGAACAGTCTCGTTTGGCAATAAGCCGATCAGGGCGAGAGGGTCGGCATCGACTAACTTTGCCGATTCCGGACATGGCTCAATCGTCGTCCTGGATGAAGTCCTTAAACACAACTTGAGAAAGATCCCGAAGGTTACGCCGAGAGCGACCCCCGCGGCCAAATGCATCCACCTGCTCCTCCGAGGCATCGTGGTAACACTGCAGATTCAATATGAGCACCCACTTTTACCCGGCGTCCACATGTGTGCATTCCAGGAATAACCTTTTTATCCCTTTTTTGTAGCGACCGGGAGGGGTAGACATTAGCAGGCGGCTTTTTTGTTCGATTTTCGCTCCCATCGGTCGGGGAGCGATCACATGGCCGCGCGATGCCGGCGAAATGTCGCGCACGAATTCGAACCCTATCACGATATCGCCGGCCTAAATATTGGTTTCGCAGATGTTATCGGCGGTGCGAGCGCGGTGAGGCGCGGCGCGTATAGAAATGCGACCCGTTCATGTTACGTTGCACCGCGTCGAGCTAATCGTATCGCGCGTGGGAACAGTTCGACTCGTGCGCCGCCCGACAAGCAACTGGACCGTTCCAAAACAAAACTCAAGCAGCGGTAATTCCGAGTGTCCGTGCACACCGTATTTCTTCGGTCTCACTCGCGCCCGCGCTATCGCTCTACCTGCGTCGCTGTCAGACGGCTAATGTGGGCCGGTCGGAATGAACTTGCCCCATTCATCGCGGCATGTCTGGCCGGTGATGACAATAGACAATGCGGTGGTCGCCCATTGTCTGGTGGGTCACCGGCTCGCGGAAACTACATTTTATGACCTATTTGCAGAAGTCCAGGAACTACGCCAGATCAGAGGAAGTCGAGTTCCTTTACTTGAATGGGCTGTTACAAAATAAAGCGATAGCATTAAGTATCGCTTGCAAATCATTGCAAAAACGTCTAAGTTCAAATGCTTCAATGTTGCAAATTCTAGACAAACAGAATGAAAGTCTGGTTACAGGCGCTGAATAATATATCCATCTTTTAAAAAAATGGTGTAGAAAAGTATTAAATTAAATAAAAAGAATATTAATTTACTATAAAAAAAAATGCGCTTCTTACTTCACCTTAGACAAACACGGCGCCAGTATTTAAACAACCGCAAGCGTGCACGCATTCATTAATCACAATCTTGGCATTGACCTATAACGCAAAATGGAACAATGTAACCAAAAACATCTCTCCCTTATTACAAGGTATGAAGGACCAGTTTGGAATGATGAAAGACTGCAGGAAAATTAAAACCAGATGTGGTGTTGAGTTGTTCAAGATCATTTGCATGGCATGGGTGCTGTCTGTCGGCACTGCAGTTTGTATAAAAACCCTTCCTGTGTTTTTGTTGGTGCGGTAACCAGAACTCAGTGAGTAGGCGACTATGTTAATTAATTAAATGTTTGTTGGAAGACAAACACTAGACTATTCGGGTCATGTTTTAAACAAAGAACAATGGTCATTGACTTGTCACATTTGCCAGTGTCGGTTTCGCTAGTTTTATTTTGCAACGCGCATTAACAATTTCAACTATCTGTTTGATGATTGAACATCTTGTCGATGGACCGCGCATCTGGGATACTGCGGTTAGAATAACACGACTTTTTGTGGTACATTTTAATATTAGTTTGTATCACAGTTGATCACAGTGATGTAAGTATCTAATCTATGTTTTAGACCTTAGTTTTATCCACTAATTAGGAACAGAAGTCGCATTTTTATTTCATTTAAACCTATTAGAAAGGATGAAGACACAGAGTACAGATTCATCAGATTTTAAAAGTGACACGTGACCATTTTGAAATAGTTAGATTTTATTTTTATATCTACCTAACTGTACCTATTTGGCATAGTTCCCAAACATTTCGGAGTGGGCATACAATACCAACATATTTATTTAGACTCGTTCAAATGCTAATTACTTACTAATTAGATACTAGTACTAATTACTGCCATTCACCCCTACAATAAAAATAATACAGGTCCGGCTACACTACAGTCGAACTGCAGCGGTTTTTCACCGCGTAGATTTGTAAAACAAGAAACCGAATGGGACTTATGGTTTTGTCCCGCAGCCGTTTTTTCAATACATTTGAATCCTTTTTGTTTAGAGAGGTTAAAAACAGCCGCGGTTCCGTCCTAGTGCAGTCGAGACCTTAGGAATAAAACCACAAAATGAAAATAACAATTTTTATTTATACATTTCGTTTGTGAAGCTGTAATGTATAAAACCTCCGTCCATTCTACCGAAGCCTTCACTTATAATTTACTACTAGTAACGTTCTTTATACTACAAATAAATAAAAACCTCGTTTGGAACACAGTTCCGTAGTTAAGTTGGACGACTGTTGAGAAGGAGTCGAGTTGGGGTGAAAATTATTGCTAATTAATTCGATGGATGCCCGAAAATAAATTCTTTATTTAGTTAGATTGAAAGTGCAGTTTATGCAAAACCGGTAAAATTATTTTATTATTTACAACGCCATCAACCAGATGGTCTTGGATCTAAATTTGGATCAAATTCATTAAGCATAGAGTACCAAACATATGGGCACTGCACTTTCTTCACACCATTCGTTTCTCTATCACTCCCACTCGACTCAAGCCCAACAGAATCACCCAAAAGGTATATTCACTCAATTTTATAGTTACACTAGAGTATTTTTATATCTACATACAAAAATAATATATTATAAGCTTTATTGTGAGCTTTTAAGTTACATTTTCATACAAAACACTTCAAAATAATTAAATCACAATATTTCCTCTATTTATCACTAGTCTATACATACCTTTAAATGTTTTTTTTTTTTGTAAAAAATAGCTGTGTTATAGGAGAATTTTGTATGAAAATGTAACAAAATACTTATGTTAGCAACGCGTGCCAAGTGAAAAATTAAATTATAAAGTCTACTTAAGTCATTTAATTAGATCTGAACAATATATCTACGTAACTTTAGCGATAGCATCGACTGATTGTAACTGTTAAACAAAAGAATAGTCTTAATTCGATGTGATGGTACTTCCGCACTACAGCTAAAAATTTAATTAGTAAACATTTTCTAAAATCATATCATCCGAAGAAAATATGTCTAATAATGTTTTAGTATGTGGTAACATTCTTAACACTGCCTCGTTGGCCGAGTGGTCGCAAGTGCGACTGCCAGGCAAGGGGTTTCGGGTTCGATTCCCGGGTCGGGCAAAGTATTACTGGGTTTTTAAAAAATCTCAGTAGTAGCACGGAGTCTGGAATTGTGCCCGGTATATGGCAATAGGCTCACCCCCTATTACATGGGACTCATAACATAAATAGTGAAAAGTAGGTGTTACATTATACAGTGGCATAATGTGCACCTCTGCCTACCCCTTCGGGGATAAAAAGGCGTGATGTTATGATGTTATGTTAACATTCTTAACAATAGTGTGGGAGCACCATTATAAAGGCGGGCCAATTAATCTCATAAACATATTTTTGAAATAATGAATATGGTGACTTATGCATCTTTTATGATTCTCATGGAGCACATTTTAAAACCAACTTGGTATCCAGTCGATTATAGCTTTTATTGCCATACGGATTAACATGGTATGCGTAAAATTCGTATGGCAACAAAACCTTTAAAAACCAAGTGATTACGATGAAAGAAGAAATATACAAAATATAACAAAATTGCACGAGTGATATTTACAATATAAACATTATTTTATTAGTAAAAAATACAACGCATGGTGCTTCCAGTGCATTTGAGACGTGGGCCTAAAAATGGCGGCTTTAATTCTTTACAATATTAAAAATTCTTGAAATATATTATTTTAAATAGTTTAAAAGTTACTTTTAAACTCACAAATATACAGGGTTGGAACTAGGAAGGTAAAGAAACCATTACAATTATCTATATCATTTCCAAGAGGCAAGAATATAAAACAATCCATGTTGACAAGTCGATAGGCACAACAATTATTTTATTTATCATACATCATATCTCACATGCTATAAATGCATAATTTTTCTAATGGTACAATAATGTTTCGATAAGATAGAACACTTATGTGGCTCATTTCTATTGAATTAGTTATTTCCGTTGTTGTTCCATAGTTTTAGGGGTAGGTAACTATATCGGATTTGACAAATTAAGAAACAAGAGAACTGCTTAAAATTAACTATTGTAATTAAATTCTGTATGCACCTTACTGACAAACTGTTCGCGAGTTGACACAGTTTCGAGGCTAAGATCAGCTCATGATCATAAGTCCCAGTGAGGCTCGAAACTAATCGAGCATCGTGCGATAGCCGCTGCGTCGCAGGTTGCGGAAGGCTGCTCATGAATATGAGCCTCTAGCATAGCTTGAAACTAGTAGAATTCCTCGTCAAATAATTACTTGAGTAAGCCGAAAAACATAAAAATTTATTGAGCATCCTCGAAAAGTTAAAGTGTTTAAGTCTTATTACATTCTAACTTGAAGAGTCTGTGTATTATTAATAATACGAAATGAAACTACACATGTCGTGATGTTTCCTTGTTCCGGTAATTTGGTAATGACACGTACCTAAATGATATCTTTCGAACATTTTTATCTTTAAATCAAAGATCGCCATCGAAAACAAACAATTTTAAGATAAATATCAACAGATCTTGTATACATATTAGTAAGTACATGTTTCCAATTAGACGGAACACGATCACCTATCTTAATGGCTTGTATTCCTAATACATTTCCGATATTCGGACATCAGTGTTTGGTTTCTTATATCCGATAATATGTTTTACAGCCATCGTGATAATCGGTTTTTAGTGTATCTGTCTGTACTTCCGTAAAGCACTATAAATTAATAGAACAGGAAAAAGACAATACAGATATTTTTTAATTATCTTTTACGGAAACTGTCAGAATGTGCTGTGGAGTTTGTATGCGTTAGAAGATGTGTGTACTGCTGCTCCTGCTGTGGAGGATGCAAATCAATCACTTTACCTACTTTTTTTAACTATTCGAGTTATTAGTTTCATTTTATGGGAGTAGCTGGGAGACATGGTAAAAATAATTTATAATGAAAAAATATTAGCTTTTAATCCACAAATAATAATTTCTTTTAGAAACTCCTCCCCTAATAAAGTATTACCTTTTTTATGTCAGGGGCTCGGGGGGAAACCTTCAAA